AAAACAGTGTATGAGTAAGTGACCATAACACTGCTAGGAATAGTGGTAGATAATATGTGGGTAAAGGTGAGAAATATTTAGTCAGTGAATGAAAAAGATTACCTACCTGCCTAGTTACTTTGCCTGGTAATAATTTTATATGTATATATATATATATATATATATATATATATATATATATATATATTATATATATATATATATATAATATATATATATATATATATATGTGTGTGTGTGTGTGTGTGTGTGTGTGTGTGTGTGTGTGTGTGTGCCGAATATGTAAAACTGGTCAATTAGCAAGAACTCATTTAAAATTAATTCCTTTCTGAAATTTTCTCTTATACGTTTAAAGATATATTTTTTTCATTAATGTTAGTGTAAAAATTTATAATTTTGCACCAAAAGAATCTTAGAAAACTTACCTAACCTAATTATAACAAGCGCAATTTATTTTAGCCTAACCCAACTAAATATATTTTAGATTTGTTTACAATAATTTAATACTAAACAAACACAGTGAAATATATTTTTTTCGTTAGGTTCAGAATGATTTTGGCGAAATTATTGCATACACAAATTTTCACTTGTCCTATATGGCAAGATGAGCGTTGCTATTTAAGCCAAGATCGCGAGTTCTGCCTATTCGGCACGATATATATATATATATATATATATATATATATATATATATATATATATATATATATATATATGTCGTGCCGAATATGTAAAACTGGTCAATTAGCAAGAACTCATTTAAAATTAAGTCATTTCTAAAATTTTCTCTTATACGTTTAAAGATATATTTTTTTCATTATTGTTAATGTCAAAATTTTTAATTTTGCTCCAAAAGAATCTTAGAAAACTTACCTAACCTTATTATAACAAGAACAATTTATTTTAGCCTAACCCAACTAAATATATCTTAGATTTGTTTACAGTAATTTAATACTAAATAAATACAGTGAAATATATTTTTTTCGTTAGGTTCCGAATGATTTTGGCGAAATTATTGCATACACAAATTTTCACTTGTTCTATATGGCAAGATGAGCGTTGCTATTTAAGCCAAGATCGCAAGTTCTGCCTATTCGGCACGACATATATATATATATATATATATATATATATATATATATATATATATATATAATATATATTGTGTGTGTGTGTGTGTGTGTGTGTGTGTGTTGTGTGTGTGTGTGTGTGTGTGTGTGTGTGTGTGTGTGTGTGTGTGTATCTTCCTATGTGATTTGTCCATGGAACCAAAGCTGCAACTTAATAAATGGTAGAAAATTTAATCTTTATACACTCAAGTTTTTACCTAATACAGAGAGAGAGAAAGACAATATTTCCAACTTGAGCTGGAAGTATTGATTCTCTCTGGACCAGAGAGAAGCAAACTCACCTGACAGCCACAATGTGAGGATAATATTAAATGTTTAGGGGAGGATCCCAAGCACAACCTGTCACTAGGGACGCTGGCTGCGAGTGGTGCTGCTGGCTGTGAGTGGTGCTGCTGGCTGTGAGTGGTGCTGCTGGCTGCGAGTGGTGCTGCTGGCTGTGAGTGGTGCTGCTGGCTGTGAGTGGTGCTGCTGGCTGCGAGTGGTGCTGCTGGCTGTGAGTGGTGCTGCTGGCTGCGAGTGGTGCTGCTGGCTGTGAGTGGTGCTGCTGGCTGTGAGTGGTGCTGCTGGCTGGTGTAGTCTTAAACTGTTATTATCCGAGTCAGTACTTTGAATTTCGACTGTTGTTATCACATGAGCGAACTGTTTCACCTTATACCTTAGTTATCATTTGAACGAACAGACACAGATATCATCTTTAAAGCATTTACGAAATCCTAGATAAACTTAGACCTGATTCATAAAGGTCAGGGAATTATTAAAAATGCAGTTCCAGCGTGAATATGTTCCACTTATACTTGAAAAGTTAGCAGTGAGTGTATTGTTGTTTTATCTGCCATTGTTCCATAATTTCATAACCAACATGTGCATCACACTTCTTGATAGTTAGTTAGTTAGTTAAAGATTAGCCGGTATTCTCCCGGCCCGGGCCTTGTCCAAGTGGTGGCCCGGCCTTGGCTCCCTCTTTAGGGAGTGTCTGAGACCTAAGTCTCTCATGGGAGGAGGCACAAGTACCTCCTCATCTTTGGGACCAACTGTCCCCAGGCCTAACCACAAGCTAGGCCTCTCTGGTCTGCCATCCCCACCCCAAGGGGGCTAATGGGAATGACAGTCTTATGAGCTAAAGGCTCGGGCTCAGGCACCTACCCTACCCTAGAAGGGTTAGGCATGGTGTCGATGACTTCTTGATAAAAGTTGTAATAACGTAGTTGTAATGTGTCTGACGCACAACAAAGCTTATCATCTGTTTATACACTTACACTTATAATTAGGAATTCCCGAAGGCCAGCCATTAATTGATTACTAGATTTTTTATCCAGTTTTGTTTTACTTTCTAGAATTTTTTTTTCATTCATGACACCAGAAAGTCTCATCTGATCGACTTCAAATACTTAGTACTAGAATGCGGTAACTAGGGCAAGATTTCTAGTAACACTTGACATATGCAAGTGCCCAGCATCCTGGAATGACTCCAGTAATTTCCAAAATCCTCTGCGGCGTAGCTTCAAACATTAAAAAATTGGATCTCTTAATTCAGTAAGAGTCTAGAGTGAAATTCCATTATGTATGTCGGTGCACATTTGCTAATTTTAATTCTCATTGAATCGTATTACGGTCAGGTGAGCGTCCATTATGTTTAGTTTACCTGCGGCTAATTTTGTCAAACCAATATATTTTTTTCATTTATTTTGGAACTGATGGAATCAGAGTTATAAATGGAGAATTCCTCTTCTGATAGGCTTCAGAAGTGTTAATGAACTTCATTGAAAGATAACTTGACTTTCTCATTGAGTTTTGTAAAAAATTAATTGTCAGTTATATCAGATATATTCAACGGCTCTTCTGATCGGCTTCAATAACTTAATTATTGATGTATGGCAACTGTAAATGTATTTTTAGTGAAATTATCAATGTTCCAGTTATATATTGTTATCAAGTTTGACCTTAAAAAACCAAATTCAAATGACATAAAAGACTTTGTTCGGATTTTTAACCCAGGAGGGTAAGCCACCAGGGGAAATCCCATGAAAGTCAGTGCGTCATCGAGGGTTGTCTGTCTTATTTCCATTGTGGTCCTCAGTCTTGTTCCCCAGGATGCCACCCACACGAATCAACTAACACTCAGGTACCTACTTGACTGCTAGGTGAACGGGACAACACGCCCAATGTTTCCAACCTTGCCTGAGATCGAACCACAGAGACTCATCGTGTGAAGCAAGAACGTTGCCTACCAGGCCACGGGCCACCAGTACCAGTATATGCCCTCTCTTAAATTTTACGAAGACGATCCCATAAATTGGTTTTCCCGAGATAATTCTAGAATGCCTCTTCCGACCAGGTTCATAATTTCAACACAGTTTCGTCTAAGTTAGAGCAAAGTTTGTGATGTTTATGGTGTGTGTTGGCGCCATTTTTACCACTTCAAATCTTTAAATAATATTGTAATATTTTGCATTAAATAATTAGCTTATACTTCTTGAAGTAGGATGCCTTGATGTCATTCAGGGGCTCTTGATCCAAGGAAAAGAAATATTCTTCCTATTGCTTAGCTCGTCTCTGAATGCCTTCTCATCCACAGGCACCTTATAACCCCTACGGGTTTAACAATTCCCCCTCATTAAAATAAATGATCTGCGAATAGTATCAGTCAATCTGGGGCATATATAGGAAATCTGCTTAATATATGTGGTATCTTATTTCCATTAATAAGAGATCTTAATATATCACATGTGTTATTATAGTGCCTGTTTCTATATTCTTCAATAAGCAGACCAGTAAGTATATAGTGTTGAAGAGAGTGATAACAGGGCTGCCCACACTGCCAGAAGTACTTGTACCTAACCCTGAGTCTGGCTGCTGCAGCAGTTGGCTCACATTGGAAGTTGCTCCAAGAGCGTACTTATCTACAGTTATGTTATCACACTGGATGATACACCTACTCAGACTTTTATCTTCATTGCTATAACATTCAGTTGCATTATTTACTTATCTGCTAATTTATTTCTAATGCTTGACACAGGCATACCAAGGTTATATTGTATATTTGCCTTCAGGGTATGTGTGATGAGATACATAACACTTGTACCTGGAGTTTACCTGGAGAGAGTTCCGGGGGTCTGTGACCAGGCCTCCTGGTGGATCAGAGCCTGATCAACCAGGCTGTTACTGCTGGCTGCACGCAAACCAACGTACGAGCCACAGCCCGGCTGGTCAGGTACCGACTTTAGGTGCTTGTCCAGTGCCAGCTTGAAGACTGCCAGGGGTCTAATGGTAATCCCCCTTATGTATGCTGGGAGGCAGTTGAACAGTCTCGGGCCCCTGACACTTATTGTATGGTCTCTTAACGTGCTAGTGACACCCCCTGCTTTTCATTGGGGGGATGTTGCATCGGAGTTTTGAGTATGTTTATCGGGCTCCACCAGTTAACATGTTGTTAAAGTCATAATGGGAATCAAGTCTTTAGTGATGACGTGGAATTAGTAATAGTAATGGAGTCAAGCTCAGTCTCATAATTTAACTTTAGCACTATTAGAATGGCAAACAATTCAGTTTGCAATGTAGAATGTTAATCATTGTTAATTTTGATATCTAACTTTACATAGTTCCTATCGTCATTTTCTAGGGAGATTGTAGCAAGAGCAGACGCAGTCCTGCCAGTAGACTCCTGCTTAGATCCATCAGTGTATATAACTTGCAAAAAATTACCACAGACAGGAGTTGCCTTTACAATTGATTTAAGGAAAGGATTTCTAATGATGAGCTTCTTGGAAGGGAAAAATAAAATAAAATAAAATAGATATACCTAGGTAAAGAGAACATTAGTATATATAGGGCGGGGAGTTTTGTGGAGAATGAAGATTGAGAAACTTATGCAATACATGGGAAACTTTATTGAGGAAACGTTTCGCCACACAGTGGCTTCATCAGTCCAATACAAATCAGAAAGGTTTAAGTAGAGGAGGAATTTGAGGTAATCAGTCCCTCAGCCTGGAGTCGATGTGTTCAGTCCATCAATCTTGTAGAAAGTACAGTATAGGGCCGTAGAAGTGGCTTATATAACTGAGGTGAGGTCATAGTGGTATCATCCACTAGTCGAAGTAGGTCTTCGTCCAAAGGATGGACAAGGTTGAAGAATTCTTTGTTTCAAGATCCCATAATGCTGCAGTGTCTGACAGATATGATAAATGGTTTAAAACCGACAAGTTTAAGATTGAGACACTTATGTAACATAGGCAATCTTTAATTAAAGATTCCCATATTTTGCATAAGTATTTCAGTCTTCAACTTGTCGGCTTTAAACCATTTATCACACAGGTGGAGAATGCTGGGTAGGTTGGATTTGAGACTGACCTGCACGGGAGGGGCAGGTGTGCTTCTAGTTATGAAGGATAATGAAGGAACTTCTTAGCAAGTGGTTCAGCTATTTTATAGAACAGTTGTTCTGGTTGAAATTGCTAGATATGCAGATAACTGATGATTCCAGGCTTCTGCAGTACTGATTCTCTTCCCTGGCGATAAGTCTTGCGTTTCTGTAGCTGATTAAATGGTTGTGGAAATTTCGGTGTTGAGTGCAGGCGTTCCTTAAATCATGGATTCTGCCTTCGTATTGGTGTTCAGAAATACGTGTGTGGAGGTCTCTGGACGTCTCGCCGACGTATAATTGATTGCAGTCATTACTAGGGATTGTGTATACTCCTGTAGAGGGGTAAGTTACCTATCACATAACCTTTATAATATTAGCAAAAAATGCAGGCCTCAAGAACATACAAGGTTAACTATTAATTATTTCACGAAAGACTGATACAACTTTGTCATGACACATTTGTGCAGTGTCGGAGTTTATGCAATATGGTGAATAAAACATATCAAACTCAACCTTCTCACGTATATTACATATGCCAGTAAAAAATACGAAATCACTGGCATTTAGGGGAACATAATATTTTATCTCTGTCTGTTGTACACGTCTTCCTACTCCATAGTTAAAAAATCTTGGTAAAAACATATTTGTAAAAATATAGTCATATTTAGGAGGTGAAGGAGTTGCATACAGATGATCAAGGTTGCAGGTATCTGGGAGAGTCATCTTGCGTAAGGCAAAATCTCTTAATATCTGTTTGTTTTTCAGGTTGCTGCGGAATTCAGTGTCAAACTGCGTAGCATATTCCCAGAATATGTCTTTGACATTGTAAGGGGTTGCCATGGTGTGTGATATTGAAAGAGTATGGAAACCCATTGGGTATACTTCAGAGTATCCTTTCATGTAACGGCGAAGGTCAATGGAGTGTAAACTGCTAATATTGTAGATGTCGCGTATAATTCCAGCCTCCCTTACTAGCTCAACCAAAGCAGTGTTCACTAAACCAATAAATCCAGAGTTGAAAGTGATTTTTCTAGCCTTGCATTCTTCATTAAACTTATTAACTTCAGAAAAATCTAGTACTGCATATTGTAAGTTTTCTGTACTGATATTAGGTGGTGAACTTGGAGTACCGAATGCTTCTACAAGAAGTGGAGTGTGCTTTCTATTTTTTAGCTCATTTAGCATTAATTTTAACTTTTGGGGATCCTTTTCAAGTTCTTCTGTCATTTGTTGAACAATCTTTGATGTATGACTGTGGTCAACAAGTTGTCCAAACTGTTGCTTATCAATAGGGATTTTGCTGATGTAATCCTCCAGAAGCTTCGTAAATAACCCAGTAATTGAAAGTAAATCGGGACCATCAACTATTCCATGATGGAAATTAAACAACACTTTGTTTTGATATGGGAACTTTTCTTTCACTTCCGGCCAGAGACAAGGGTAGTCAGATGAGAGTGGCATAAGTCGAACTTGCCACAGTGGTCCTTCACTCAAGTTGAATGGCGTGTTTACCATAGCCTCTCCTTCCATAAATGAGTCTGGTCCATTGACAACCTGAAAAAAAACACAACCGTGATGATGATTAATTCAAAGTAGAAATTACTTGACACATAGATAATGGCACATAATCCTGAAGTATTTAACATTTAATGAGATTACCAACAGTGGTGTACCTAAGATATAGCAGGTATGGCATATTCCTTGGGTGCCACTTGAAGGGGGGGGGGGGCGCCACTGAGGAGTTTCTATTAAAGTCAGACAAGTAATCCTCATTATTATTTTTATTATAAACAAATAAAGCGCTAAACTGACAAGGGTCATGCAGCGCTGTGGGCAGAAAATAGTGCCGGGTCTATAAACAACTAGTTGTAATAAAGTTGGTAGAATTACCGACAATATGTAAAGTAAAAGGACACAAGTGCAACTAATGTGACATTTATTGTGGCAACGTTTCGCGAAACGTTGCCACAATAAATGTCACATTAGTTGCACTTGTGTCCTTTTACTTTACAAACAACTAGTTGGAAAGGGGATCCAAGGTGGGGGGGAAGAGGGCTGCAGATGACACTATGGGCCATGCATCAAAGTTCGTATAATAAAGCAGTTGCTGACAAAAAGTCAAAAACTCATCGTAAGTTAAAGGTAGGGTCGTCTGCAAGAAGGGAAGATAAGGTAAGAGCAGTAGGGTTGTAGCGTCGGTGGAAGTAAATCCTGCAAGCTCGCTGGTAAACCAGACAATCCACAAGCTCGCTGATAAACCAGACAATCCACAAGCTCGCTGGTAAACCAGACAATCCACAAGCTCGCTGATAAACCAGACAATCCACAAGCTCGCTGGTAAACCAGACAATCCACAAGCTCGCTGGTAAACCAGACAATCCACAAGCTCGCTGATAAACCAGACAATCCACAAGCTCGCTGGTAAACCAGACAATCCACAAGCTCGATGATAAACCAGACAATCCACAAGCTCGCTGGTAAACCAGACAATCCACAAGCTCGCTGGTAAACCAGACAATCCACAAGCTCGCTGATAAACCAGACAATCCACAAGCTCGCTGGTAAACCAGACAATCCACAAGCTCGCTGGTAAACCAGACAATCCACAAGCTCGCTGGTAAACCAGACAATCCACAAGCTCGCTGGTAAACCAGACAATCCACAAGCTCGCTGATAAACCAGACAATCCACAAGCTCGCTGGTAAACCAGACAATCCACAAGCTCGCTGGTAAACCAGACAATTCACAAGCTCGCTGGTAAACCAGACAATCCACAAGCTCGCTGGTAAACCAGACAATCCACAAGCTCGCTGGTAAACCAGACAATCCACAAGCTCGCTGATAAACCAGACAATCCACAAGCTCGCTGGTAAACCAGACAATCCACAAGCTCGCTGGTAAACCAGACAATCCACAAGCTCGCTGGTAAACCAGACAATCCACAAGCTCGCTGGTAAACCAGACAATCCACAAGCTCGCTGGTAAACCAGACAATCCACAAGCTCGCTGATAAACCAGACAATCCACAAGCTCGCTGGTAAACCAGACAATTCACAAGCTCGCTGGTAAACCAGACAATCCACAAGCTCGCTGGTAAACCAGACAATCCACAAGCTCGCTGGTAAACCAGACAATCCACAAGCTCGCTGGTAAACCAGACAATCCACAAGCTCGCTGGTAAACCAGACAATCCACAAGCTCGCTGGTAAACCAGACAATCCACAAGCTCGCTGGTAAACCAGACAATCCACAAGCTCGCTGGTAAACCAGACAATTCACAAGCTCGCTGGTAAACCAGACAATCCACAAGCTCGCTGGTAAACCAGACAATCCACAAGCTCGCTGGTAAACCAGACAATCCACAAGCTCGCTGGTAAACCAGACAATCCACAAGCTCGCTGGTAAACCAGACAATCCACAAGCTCGCTGGTAAACCAGACAATCCACAAGCTCGCTGGTAAACCAGACAATCCACAAGCTCGCTGGTAAACCAGACAATCCACAAGCTCGCTGGTAAACCAGACAATCCACAAGCTCGCTGGTAAACCAGACAATCCACAAGCTCGCTGGTAAACCAGACAATCCACAAGCTCGCTGGTAAACCAGACAATCCACAAGCTCGCTGGTAAACCAGACAATCCACAAGCTCGCTGGTAAACCAGACAATCCACAAGCTCGCTGGTAAACCAGACAATCCACAAGCTCGCTGGTAAACCAGACAATCCACAAGCTCGCTGGTAAACCAGACAATCCACAAGCTCGCTGGTAAACCAGACAATCCACAAGCTCGCTGGTAAACCAGACAATCCACAAGCTCGCTGGTAAACCAGACAATCCACAAGCTCGCTGGTAAACCAGACAATCCACAAGCTCGCTGGTAAACCAGACAATCCACAAGCTCGCTGGTAAACCAGACAATCCACAAGCTCGCTGGTAAACCAGACAATCCACAAGCTCGCTGGTAAACCAGACAATCCACAAGCTCGCTGGTAAACCAGACAATCCACAAGCTCGCTGGTAAACCAGACAATCCACAAGCTCGCTGATAAACCAGACAATCCACAAGCTCGCTGGTAAACCAGACAATCCACAAGCTCGCTGGTAAACCAGACAATCCACAAGCTCGCTGGTAAACCAGACAATCCACAAGCTCGCTGGTAAACCAGACAATCCACAAGCTCGCTGATAAACCAGACAATCCACAAGCTCGCTGGTAAACCAGACAATCCACAAGCTCGCTGGTAAACCAGACAATCCACAAGCTCGCTGGTAAACCAGACAATCCACAAGCTCGCTGGTAAACCAGACAATCCACAAGCTCGCTGGTAAACCAGACAATCCACAAGCTCGCTGATAAACCAGACAATCCACAAGCTCGCTGGTAAACCAGACAATCCACAAGCTCGCTGGTAAACCAGACAATCCACAAGCTCGCTGGTAAACCAGACAATCCACAAGCTCGCTGATAAACCAGACAATCCACAAGCTCGCTGGTAAACCAGACAATCCACAAGCTCGCTGGTAAACCAGACAATCCACAAGCTCGCTGGTAAACCAGACAATCCACAAGCTCGCTGGTAAACCAGACAATCCACAAGCTCGCTGGTAAACCAGACAATCCACAAGCTCGCTGGTAAACCAGACAATCCACAAGCTCGCTGGTAAACCAGACAATCCACAAGCTCGCTGGTAAACCAGACAATCCATAAGCTCGCTGGTAAACCAGACAATTCACAAGCTCGCTGGTAAACCAGACAATCCACAAGCTCGCTGGTAAACCAGACAATCCACAAGCTCGCTGGTAAACCAGACAATCCACAAGCTCGCTGGTAAACCAGACAATCCACAAGCTCGCTGGTAAACCAGACAATCCACAAGCTCGCTGGTAAACCAGACAATCCACAAGCTCGCTGGTAAACCAGACAATCCACAAGCTCGCTGGTAAACCAGACAATCCACAAGCTCGCTGGTAAACCAGACAATCCACAAGCTCGCTGGTAAACCAGACAATCCACAAGCTCGCTGGTAAACCAGACAATCCACAAGCTCGCTGGTAAACCAGACAATCCACAAGCTCGCTGGTAAACCAGACAATCCACAAGCTCGCTGGTAAACCAGACAATCCACAAGCTCGCTGGTAAACCAGACAATCCACAAGCTCGCTGGTAAACCAGACAATCCACAAGCTCGCTGGTAAACCAGACAATCCACAAGCTCGCTGGTAAACCAGACAATCCACAAGCTCGCTGGTAAACCAGACAATCCACAAGCTCGCTGGTAAACCAGACAATCCACAAGCTCGCTGGTAAACCAGACAATCCACAAGCTCGCTGGTAAACCAGACAATCCACAAGCTCGCTGGTAAACCAGACAATCCACAAGCTCGCTGGTAAACCAGACAATCCACAAGCTCGCTGGTAAACCAGACAATCCACAAGCTCGCTGGTAAACCAGACAATCCACAAGCTCGCTGGTAAACCAGACAATCCACAAGCTCGCTGATAAACCAGACAATCCACAAGCTCGCTGGTAAACCAGACAATCCACAAGCTCGCTGGTAAACCAGACAATCCACAAGCTCGCTGGTAAACCAGACAATCCACAAGCTCGCTGGTAAACCAGACAATCCACAAGCTCGCTGATAAACCAGACAATCCACAAGCTCGCTGGTAAACCAGACAATCCACAAGCTCGCTGGTAAACCAGACAATCCACAAGCTCGCTGGTAAACCAGACAATCCACAAGCTCGCTGGTAAACCAGACAATCCACAAGCTCGCTGGTAAACCAGACAATCCACAAGCTCGCTGATAAACCAGACAATCCACAAGCTCGCTGGTAAACCAGACAATCCACAAGCTCGCTGGTAAACCAGACAATCCACAAGCTCGCTGGTAAACCAGACAATCCACAAGCTCGCTGGTAAACCAGACAATCCACAAGCTCGCTGGTAAACCAGACAATCCACAAGCTCGCTGGTAAACCAGACAATCCACAAGCTCGCTGGTAAACCAGACAATCCACAAGCTCGCTGATAAACCAGACAATCCACAAGCTCGCTGGTAAACCAGACAATCCACAAGCTCGCTGGTAAACCAGACAATCCACAAGCTCGCTGGTAAACCAGACAATCCACAAGCTCGCTGGTAAACCAGACAATCCACAAGCTCGCTGGTAAACCAGACAATCCACAAGCTCGCTGGTAAACCAGACAATCCACAAGCAAGTGAAGAACCGAAATATGGATCTGACAAAGCTCACAGAGATAAAGAGGGTTTTGCTCTATGAGATACCCATGGGTAAGGTGAGTATACCCGATGAGATACCCATGGGTAAGGTGAGTATACCCGATGAGATACCCATGGGTAAGGTGAGTATAGCCGATGAGATACCCATGGGTAAGGTGAGTATAGACGATGAGATACCCATGGGTAAGGTGAGTATAGCCGATGAGATACCCATGGGTAAGGTGAGTATAGACGATGAGATACCCATGGGTAAGGTGAGTATAGCCGATGAGATACCCATGGGTAAGGTGAGTATAGACGATGAAGAAACGGGAGAGTGCAGTCTCCTGAGT